TTAAGCAGAAGAGACAAATTAAATCGTTCGCAAGCTAAGAATTGGTCACACACAGAGCTGACACGTGGTGTTCATGGTCCAAGCTGGTGGCTTCGGAGAAATCACCTGTTTGTGAAAAGTGTAGTGATCATTAACCGTTCAACATATGCTTACACAGTGTGTTAAATACGAGCAAGAACAAAAAAATATTGTATAAAAGGTTTTAGAAGTATGATCCTCAGCCAATTAGACCTTGTTTAGAACCTACTAGATTTTCTTCGAGAAACGAAGGTTGTATTACAAAAGTTAGTATTCTTTTTTATTACTTTCACTTTTACATGCAACAAAATTGACCCAGTGTCAATTTTCTTTTTTTTTATCTCTTTCTCTCTCTCTCTCTCTCTCTCTCTGTGTGTCATTATCACTTGATACAATTTATTAATATTTTCTCTCCATAAAGATCTACAAAAATAATTAGAACTGTACAGAATTCTATTTAACTTAGTAGTGTCATCTTCAGTTCATTTCATAAACTCACTCAAATGTTACAAATATATTTCCTAGAATATATTGTAACCATGAATCTGGTGCTTTATGAGGGATCATTTCCATTTTAAAACACATTCTAGTTATTTATTCTGCAATGGCGAATCCGACATTTTATTATTATTCATATCCTTTAATTCCCGAGTTAAGCACGGCATAAATCCTCTTTTGTGTGAAAATTTACAAAGAGAAGTTGTTAATCTAATTTATGCATAAAAACTCAGGGACTGTAACGAGAGCTTGATAAATTATGGATAAATTGTATATACAATTAGGAGACATCGAAAAAAATCGCCTATAAAAAGAAACTTTATAACGAAGGAGATTTTTCTAGGAGTTTTTGCAAATAGGGCAACCATTAGATGGGGAATAAAAACAAAATCGTTATGTCAGGTGACAACACTCTGATATATTTCGGTAACAATTTTAACCCGTAACTGGTGAGGTCCATTTTTGTTACATGTATAGTGAGTTGGGGTCACCCTGACCCCAATTTGTTTTGCAAAATTAGACACTGATATTTGTTTATTTAAAAAAAATGACTTCAATAACTTAAAGACGTTTATTTTTTTATAACATAAATTTAACAAATATTTGAAATACTTATCACGCATAAGAAATTAAACTAAATGGGGAACAAAAAAAATTTTTTTTCTTAAAACAAACTTAAACATTCAATCTAACCTACCAACACAAAAAATAACCAAAAATAAAAAACATCATAAAAACTACAATTCATTCTTATAGGCAATCTTTGCAAATGTATGTTTCACACATGTGGCATGTGTGGATGCTCACAATGATCGTGGACATTGTGAGCACCTTACTCTTTTTTTCTAAAATAGCATTTTGCTGTTCAGGAATATCTGTTTTTAAAATGGAAGCGATATTATGTCTCAGTTGCCTTGGAATTTGAGAAATAGTTAGTCTTCTTTCCATATGATCCTGAACAAGCTGCCGAGCCAGAGATTTAATGTGGTTACTAAACGATTCTTTCGATAAATCAATTGTGACACAAGCTGTGTGACATGTTTTGCCATCTTGTTTAAACCACAGCTCCTGCACATCATGGTTGTTCAATTAAGGAATGCAAAGTTAATAATCATGGCTCTATAGCGGTCACCATTGACTGCAACGTTCTGGTCAGCGTAGTTTTTGAAGAAGTACGGACCAAGGATTCCACCAGCCTACAAAGCATACAAAACAGTTAGTTGTTCAGGATTTTATAGTGTCTTTAACATACAATTTGAGGATTAGTGCGATGGCGGATAGACTGATTCGGGTCTTTCCCTATACTACGCTCTACATCATCAACAACCTCGTCTGTACGCACTGTACGACGTATCTTAGATGCTTATTATGATTCAGGGTAAACGTGGTGCGGTGAAAACGTTCCATGGTTAATCAAGTTATATGCTCTGATGAACGAGTACGTTGAACTTGAACTAAACAGAACAGAAAACCACTTGACAGCTCTCAAAATGGCCGCCAGTTAAAAATGGTCTAACTGGTAAGCAGGTTTTGTATGTTTTCAATAAAATTGATAGTGTGTAAAATAATTGATTAATTAAGCTGAGTATACTTTCGACATAATAAATGTCATCATCAGAGCTATCCTAAAATAACGTAAAGTTAAGTAAATTTTTTATATAAAATACAATGACAGAAAAAACTTACGTCAATTAGGCAATAAATACTTCATAGAAGGAAAATTATGGATAAACGACATATTAAAAAACAAAGATCGGGCTCTGTAGGCCACAGATCTTGGGTCTAAACCCTTATACATATGTATAATTCACATCAAAAATTTTTTATAAAACATGGTTACCACATACAGCAACGACAACAGCTGTTTTTGACTTACATTTTTGAAGTAAAAGTGAAGGAGGAAGCTCGGATATACGGAAATAAATCCGAGAGCGACCTCTTTATTTAAAATTATCAATTGAAAATTGAAAATGTCTAAACTGACGTCTGAAGGTTATTGATTATTACTTTTAGTTACTATGGGAATTTTAAATTTAAATATTTTAAATTGATAAGTCAACGTGAAAATTTAAAATATACATTTATCAATATTATCAAAAAACAAAACTTTAAAGTTTGACCAAGTAGAAGAAAGTAGATGAAAACCAACCAAGGAGAAGTATCATTTGCTAAGTTAAGAGTTCAATAGCTATTATTGATTATCAATATTATATAATAACTCATTTTACTTATAAAATGTAAGTCAAAAACAGCTGTTGTCATTGCTGTATGTGGTAACCATGTTTTATAAAAAAATTTTGATGTGAATTATACATATGTATAAGGGTTAGACCCAAGATCTGTGGCCTACAGAGCCCGATCTTTGTTTTTTAATATGTCGTTTGTCCACAATTTTCCATTCTATGAAGTATTTATTGCCTAATTGACGTAAGTTTTTTCTGTCATTGTATTTTATATAAAAAATTTACTTAACGTTATTTTAGGATAGCTCAGCCTTAATTAATAAATTATTTTACACACTATTAATTTTATTGAAAACATAAAAAAACCTGCTTACCAGTTAGACCTATTTAGAAGTGTGTACAAGTCTTACAGTCTTTTTCAATTCAGTTAAAAAGGTGTTGCCAACTTACATTTCTAAACCTTATTAGTTATCTGGGATTTCAGGAAGATCTATGACTTCGTTGTCATGTAGTAGGTGGGTGTAGGGGTTTACAGCAAGCGCCGCGGCCTGTGACCTAGTCACAGACCGGGCAGAAAGGACGGACCTGGTTGAACCAGGCATTTCAACAGGGGACGCGATCTATACACAAGCAGACCGCTAGGGACTCCGCAGCCTCACGGAGCCAAGGGGCGGTAAACACCCCCCGAGAAAAAGGCTAATGTCCTCTATATAGGTTTTTGATAATGACTATATTACCTTGTGTTTACCACGCAGCTAAATGGTTTCACGGCGGAAGTCCGCCACGGAGCGGTAGCACACTGCGTACTGGCACTTGTTCCTGAAAGCGATTTTGCCTAACAAAGAGAAAATTCTGGGGCCAGTATATTCTACTGAAACCCTGCACTAATTACCTTTGTTGACTACCGCTGGCGTCGTTGGTTTTTCGGCAGTTGTGCTTACTCCTATTGGACGATCTGTCTACAGCAATATTCAGAGCTACGCTCTCTCAAACTCCTCGCCGCACTGACGCTATCCCGGAGAGGGTATGCAGTCCAGTGACCTTCTGGCTTAGTGACTCGAACGAGAATGAAGAGAAGAATACAGAAATGCACTTATACGCAAGTTATATTTGCGTTTAAATTGTTGTCTAGTGGAATGGGAAATATGAGAGTGTCCAATGCCTCCCGCTGTCCAAACCTTCCCGGCGCTCCCCTAACGACTAGCAAGATTTAGTTTCATAAATATTTTAAAAAGCATAAATTATTGGGTATTTAATAAACATTTGATTAGTAGAACGAATTAAAGAAAGATTGTGAGGTTAGCATGGAATAAATCTAAGGTTTAAACATTACAAGTTTAAACAAGTACAAAATGCCTTCATAAAAGATTGAATAATAACATCGATTAGCAATAAATCGAACAAACCAGGCAATTTACCTAATGTAAAGATTGGATATTAAGATAAAGAAGAAATTTAGAGCACGTCTAGCAATTACAATCCTGAAATTCAACAAATATAATTTGATTACATGCTTTTTGATCCGTTTTATTATCCGGTCTATTTTTGATGGTAATACTAATTATAATAATTGAACAACATCCTAATTTAAGAAAACAAACTATTAAAGAACTCAAGAATGACTGAATATTATTATCACTAACTGGAAATTTCAATTACGTCCTCGGAATTTAATATAGGGTTGGATGTTTTGGTAGATAATTATGTTGAAATGGATTCCTCTGCCATGTTTATAATGAGGCGGTAATAACTAAACAAAACTTCAAAATGTATATTACAATACTAAATTCCATAGTGTCTGTTACACATAAATATAACTAAATCAAAATGTCTTTTTTTTCTGAAAAATTGCTTTGGCAGAGCCAATTAGCGAGACTTGGTTTTGTTTGTTGTTAAAGTCGACTGAATTTTAATTATTATTGATTGCATTATCAGTTATCAATGTTAGTACTATATATAACTAATATTTTTATGGGTACATAACCTTTGTTATGATATATTTTTATTTTGTTTTTTATTCTTTTATTATCTTCTTGTTTTTCTTTTGTTTTTTTGTTTTTTATTTATTTTTTAGTTGGATTTAATCAATTTATTTTTATCCCCGGAATACGTGATTTAATTTATGACATACCTTTTTGACACACCATGTATTATGTTGGATTTCAACAGGATGGCGCATCCGCCATAAATCAAAATGTAAATACAGAATCCAAATATCAACAACATAAGTAAAAATATTTTTCATTCATTTGCAAATTGGTATATAAATTGACTTAATTTTTCGTTTGCAGTTTGGCAGGAATGTCTCGAAGTGTAACCGTAGCAGTGGCGTATATTATGTCTGTTACTACTTTGAACTGGAAAGAAGCTTTAAAAGTTGTGAGAGCAGGACGAGCGGTTGCCAATCCTAATTTAGGTTTTCAAAAGCAATTAGAGGAATTTGAATGCACTAGGTTACTTGAGGTAAATTTTAAATTAAATGTTTATGCATATCATTAGTTTATATTATACAGTATGTTGTGTATGTTATTTTTAGAGAATATTGCTTTCAGAAACGATCTACAAAATAAGGCAATAAAAAAATATTGTTACTATACTATAGAAAATTTTTGCTTACACCAAATTATGTTTACAAAACATTCTATTACAAAAGTAATAGAATACCTCAGTGTATTTCAATCTGTATGTCGCGTGCCCTAGGCGGGTCGCGATACCTTACTCGGGGGGTCGGCAGCTGAAAGAAAAGGTTAAGGTTTTTGGCTTGATTGGTCCGGGATGTGAGGATGTGTGTGAGTTAATTAAGGGTCTGAGTGACGCACAGGAGTTGGCTTGTGTTAGATCAAATGAAAGGTATGAAAATAAACAATTATACTGGTGGAATGAACAACTTGAAAATCTGAGGACAAATTGCATGAGAGTAAGAAGGGAGTGTAAGAGGTTAAGAAGAGTGCAAGCAAGAGATTTGGAAGAGAGAATAAATGAATTAAAGCGAATGCAGAATAAATACAAGAAAGAGATAAGAATGATTTAAGAAAGAAAGGTGGAGTAGCCTGCTTCAGGATCCCGAAAGGGATATCTGGGAGCAGGGCTTCAAGATTGTCTGTACCGAAATAAAGGGAAAGAGACATCCTACCCACTGCCTGAGGAGCAGAATCTCCGTTGAATACGGGAACTTTTTCCTCAGGTGGAGGATAGGCGTGAAAGGGTTATTGGTTTCGTAGATTCGAAATATTTTACTGAGTTGGAACTCGGCGAGGCTGATAGACGGATGAAGATCCGAAAAGCGCCTGACATAGATGGAGTCATGCCAGAGACAGTAAGACTCTCCTAACTAAAATACCCGCAGGTTTTCCTGAGATAGCTAAATAAACTGCTTGAGCAACAGAAGTTTCCAACAATGTTGAAAGAAGCTAAGGTTGCTAAGTTATTATCAACACCGGCAGTGACCATAGACTAGTTCGTGCTGATATACGTATTAACGTAAAGAGAGAAAGACGAAAACTATTAACAACAAACCCTTTACCGACGGCAGAAATACCAAGAGGAATTAGCACGAAAACTAGTAGCAAATACCTTTGAGCACAAGAATATAGATAAACTAGCTGAGAAAATAACTAAAGACATACAAACAGTCACTAAGAAACTTTGTTGCAGAATAAGAAAACAAAAGGAAGCTAAACTAAAACCCGAAACTCTAGAACAGATAAAGAAAAGAAGAAGAACGAACAGAGATAACCTGGACTATAAAGCGCTCAACAGAAGCGTTAAGAAAAATATTCGAAAAGACCTCAGAGTTTATAGAACAAACCAGATTCTTGAAACCATAGTAAACAATAAGAACATGAAAGTACTAAAAACATGTAAATCCACTGGCAGGAATAAAATCATAAAGATAAAAGACGACAGTGGAACATTGTGCTCGCATAAGGAAGAGATCGTTAGAGAAATCCGAAAATTTTATAAGAAGCTGTATACTTCTACTATTCCGAACCCCGGTATACCAACAAAACATATCTTAAATGTGGACTCAGAGGACTTCCCTGAAATAATAACATCAGAAATTAGAGCCGCCCTAAAACAAATGAAAAATGGGAAAACACCAGGAGAAGATAAAATTACTTCAGAGATGCTAAAAATGGGAGGCACTGCATTAGAAGAGGCAATAAGAGCATTACTTAATAAATGCCTATTTGTAAGACAAATACCGAAGACATGGAAAAATACGGAAGTCATTCTACTCCATAAAAAGGGGACGCCGCAAATATAGAAAACTACCGACCAATAAGCTTATTGTCACACCTTTACAAACTACTAACCCGAATAATAACAAATAGATTGACAGCTAAACTAGATGCATACCAACCAGTGGAGCAAGCAGGATTTCGTAAGGGTTTTAGCACTATCGATCACTTGCAAACAATTCGGACCATTATTGAAAAAACAATAGAGTACAACATACCACTACATCTGGCATTTGTCGATTATCGCAAAGCATTGGACGACATTTCTTAACAGCTCTCATCACAAAGCATTTCTTAACAGCATTGGACGACGCCAGAGTAGATTCAAGATATGCTGCCCTCCTTAAGAATATATACGATGATGCTACTTTTCACGTAAAAATAGATGATGATCTGGAAACTATGAAAATAGACCTTGGCAAAGGTATGAGACAGGGCGACACCATCTCACCCAAGTTATTTACTTTGGCATTAGAAAATGTTTTCAAACAACTAAATTGGGCCGAAAATGGATTAAAAATAGATGGAGAATATCTTAACCATTTGCGTTTTGCAGACGACATAGTACTAATAAGCACAGATATCCATGAACTAAAATCAATGCTACAAGATTTAAATTACAAATCGAATCAAATAGGATTAAAAATGAATCTCGACAAAACAAAGATATTAAACAACAGCCTAGAAAACATCACGATAGATAACATCAATATAGAAAAGGTAGAACAATAAATATATCTAGGACATGCAATTAAAAACGAAAAGGAAAATCAAACCCTAGAAATTAAAAGAAGGACACAATTATCATGGGCTGCTTTTGGTAAGTTGAGCTTCATTTTAAAAGACACAAAAATCCCAATTCACTTAAAACGAAAAACCTATGACACTTTTATACTACCAGTTGCAACTTATGGATTGGAAACTATGGCAATAACAAGAAAAATGGCAGAAAAATTAAGAGTAACTCAACGGGCCATGGAGAGGGCCATGTTAAATATAAGCCTCGTCGATGAACTAAATTAACCGACATCATGGGAAAAATAGCGACATTGAGATGGCAATGGGTAGCACATGTAGCAAGACAAGACACCAACAGATGGTCTCATAAAGTGACATTCTGGAGACCTCGAGAAACAAAAAGAAGCGTGGGAAGACCTAAAAAGAGATGGATAGACGATATAACTGCTTTAGCTGGAAAGCAGTGGATGAGAATTGCAAAAGATAAGGAAGCGTGGAAGCAATTGGAGGAGGCCTATGTCCAACATTGGATAAATGAAGGCTGAAGAAGAAGAAGAAGAAGAAAAAGGAGTAGAAGAACAGAGGAGAAAATTGAGCCAGGGATCTGACATTTATGGTAAATATTATTTAGTATTTTATGACCTAACGTCTAAACATTTTCTGATTTAGGGTAATAGGTATGGTTATTTATTACTTTTAGTTTTTTATTTTAGTTGTTCATTGAGGGGCAAGATCACATCTCTGGAACGGTGATTAAGGTTTTAGCCGAAACACGGTTAATCCGGCACTACCATGGGGTCTTCTGGCCTAGTATCCTACTCGGCCGAAAGATGCCAGGGTGTCTTGTTCCGTGACGTAGATGTCCAAAAAAGATTTTTCCCACTGTTGCTTGTCAGAATTCAACAATGATACCTTCTTAGGTTCTTACTAAAATCTGACAATACGGTAATTAAAAAAAACCTTCCATAAACAAAAGTACTGAATAAACGTAGACTAGAATGGCTCGAACAACTAGAAAAGATATTGGATTCGACTAGAAAGTCGAGAATATTGGTTAAGGAGTACTTGAGGGTGAAAAAGAGAGAAAGACCAAGAAAGAAATGGGGAGACGTAGTGATGGAACATGTCAGAGAGAAGGGAATCAGAAAATGGAAGCTGACAGCTAAGAAGAGAAGACGATAGAAATAATCCATTAAGCGATGGGCCTAAAAGGCCTCTTAACGCTATACATACATACATAATTTTTGTATCATCCACATTTTTTCTCATGAGCACAGTTTTGTTTAACGTCTGTATCAATTGCATTGCATTGTCAAATGACTTTTGTCATTTTCATTTTATCACAACAGATCTAGTACACATCTTTAACAGATTTTGAATATTTCTTCATGATCCAATACAATATTCCTGTTGTTTTGGGTTAGTTTTGTAAAGTTTGTTTTTTGAGATATTTTGTTATTTATTTTGTAGAACTTGAAAACATGTTTTGAAAGTAACAGTTCTTTTTTAATGTAGTCTTAACAGTCAATTCATGCATTTTTTTGTCCCTTTTATGTTGTCCTTTTTATGTTCTTTATCATCGTATCTAGAATTTTCTTTTTCATCCAACTTTCCTATTTTGAAAATAATACTTATCTAGAGACTGAAACATATAAACCATAATTATTGTTCAATTTATAGTTAACTTATAATAATCAAGTAAATAAAACACAAGTGACTCTAAACTGTTCCCTTTTCATGAGAGTTTTATATCATTAAGGTAATTTAATGCCTCTCGTCCTGAAAAAGTTTACTAATTACACGAAATCAGTCATTTCATTATAAATAAATCTAATATGTGCTGCATGGTTAATTATACGCCAAAACCTTCTGTGAAATATCCAGTTTAATTACGCTTTTTCATAATTTTATAAAATTACGACAGAAAAAAGCACGGTTATTTCTACTCTGGTAAGTTTTTAATTAAAGTCAGATGCAAAACTACTGATAAAAATGTACCTTTTCGTATAAGCGAACTGGCAATGTAGGCTCCATCCCCAGATTTAAATGGGTCTACCCGAGCCTATCCCTATTTTAGCGTGTTGGCGGAGAATTACAATTTAATAACCAAATTCCTTCGTTTATTTTTAAAACTAAATTATTTATTGGTGTTTTAAAAGATAAGCAGGCATCTATTATATTAGTTAGGATATTTATCAATACTAATAGAAATTTAATGGTTAGTACTTTTAATAATTGGAGCCCCTGATATAGCATTCACTTGACTAAATAATATAAGATTCTGACTACTTCCTCCTTCCTTATTATTATTACTATTAAGAAGAATAGTAGAAAGGGAAGTATGGACTAGTTGAAAAGATTATCCTCCTTTATCTTCTAATATTGCTCATGGAGGTTCATCTGTTGATTTAGCTATGTTTAGTTAACATTTAGCAGGAATTTGCAGTGTGCAAACATGTTTCGAAAATTCCAACGAAGAAAACA